AATGGAAAAACATCCCATGCTCATGAATCAGAAGACAACAGCATGAAGGTGGCATACTCTTATCTATAAAATCAGTGCAGTACATAGCAAAACCGTCAGCTATGTGATCTTAGAAAAATCACCTTCTATTTGGTTTCTACACCTTGGTTACTTAATCCTAATATGCCTCAGTTTCTTTATCTGTAACATGGGGATAACTGGGCCTCCTTAGTAAGATGCTGTGATGAATGAATGAGATAATGCTGGTAAAGCTCCTTACTAGTTTCCTGAATGCAGTGAGGACTCAGTAAATGTCAGCCATTATTTCCTTGATGACTATAATGAAATTTGAAAATGTCAGTTAAGTCTACCACATCCAGTATTATCCTAAATTTCTGCATGAGGAATATACTTTATTCTTAAGAAATCCAAGTAATATACAATCAAATCATAACTTACATAACAGGCAGGCTAATATCATTGTAGGAATTTGGCATACAAAGTTGTTCAAAGAAAAAGAAAAATTATTTTATTTCCTTGCAAATTGAGAAAGTACTTTAAATAAAGCTGGCAGTAAAATATGACAGAATTGCCAGAGTGTATATAGCTTTTTAAAAAAACTTTTCCTTTAGAAATACTGATAATTGACTTAATAATTCTAAAAGTAGACTTGACTGTCTAGTTGTCTTTTCTATTAAGTTTGATGACTAAATAATACAAGAGCCAATTACAACTTTTATAATGATTTCCTGGCTTCCAAACCCAAGTGGTATGGATCAAGGCTGCATTCCAGTTAAGATTCCACAGATTTCTCCCTTTCCCTTCAGCAGTGCTCAGAGCAGTAACTTCTTCTAACCAGCATTTCAGTAACAGCAAGCTTCAGTCAAGAGATCCTCTATTGTTTCTGAGACCACTGGAAGTGTCGTCTGATTCTACATTCCTTGGTGGAAGCACATTTGTTACTGGCATAATTTTAACCAAACTGAATATTTTAGACACCAAACCAACTGTTGATGAGGGAACTGGAGACTTCCTGTACTGAAACCACCTATTTGTGTAACTTGGAGTCAATTACCAAATTCACTGGAATGCACTAAAAACTGCTAAAATGCAATCCCCTTTTGAAAACATTAATTGTATATAATTTTATTTTGAGATGGCAAACTGAAACAAACATGGGCCATGAAGTGTATTTTGATATATTTAGTAGCATAACAGATTCCGTTAAATTCAGTTAGTTTCTGTGGAAAAATAAATGGCACAGAGACTAGTCAAGTTGAAAGAGGCTTCAAATATTTAGTCAATTCATAATATTAAAATGTTAAAAATTATCAGTTTTAAAAATGATATGCCAGATAATATACCAGTTCAAGTTTCTAATGGTATCTGAAACTTTAAAGAATTCCTTTCCTCATTTAGTAATAAGTTTAAAAATTCCTTATTGGCTTGATTCATATTGGCTCACGTAAATAAAAAGATGATTCTCAACTGAAAATATTTTAAGAATTTTATAACTACATGTAAAGAAACCAAATGGCTTTTAAGAAATTTGGCCAAATGGGCATAAATAATGACCTTCATGTTTGCATCCTAATTATAAAAATGGCTAAGGGAGTATAATACAGAGGAAAGAAATGAAAGAAATGAATTAAGAATCAGAAGGTCAACTGCATTCATCTATTCACAAAGTATTTGAGTCCCTATAGTGTGTCTGGCACAATGCTTGGCACCAGTGTGTGGAAAAAAAAGTCACAGTGCTGCTACAGAGGGGAGGTTGGGCAAAACACATGAAAACTAACTGTGGGAAGTGTTATAAGGAAGGAACAGCAAGTAATGAAAAAAAATGGGATGGGTGGTGGGCACGAAGGGGAATGAGATAAAGAATTTCAACTGCACATATGAAATAAATTATATATATATATATATATAATGTCTTTATTGATTTCAGGCAGAAGAAGGGAGAGGGAGAGAGAGAAACATCAATGATGAGTCATTGATCAGCTGCCTCCTGCATGTCCCCAACTGGGGATCGAGCCCGTAACTCGGGCATGTGCCCTGACCGGGAATTGAACCGTGATCTCCTGGATCCTAGGTCAATGCTCAGCTGCTGAGCCACACTGGCCAGGTGGCTAAAAATATTTTAAAGAACAAATCCTTGCTCTTTTTTCTTTTACCAAGATAAAATTGATAGTAGGAGATGTTATGGAGTATTATGCCATACATACATGCTTAACATATGTGTCATTCAGATCTGCACAACCTACAGATAAGTAGCAGCATTATCTCTAACTTACAGACAAGTGAGGCACAGAGACATTAAGTTACTGGCCCAAGGTCACATTTAGTGAACCATAGACTAAAGTTTTACTACAGAGATGCTCTGAGACTGAAAGCAAGTCACTTAATCTCTCTGAATTCTATTTGGTTTTCTTATCTCTAAAATGAAGGGACTGCATTAGAGGATCAATCCTGTTAAATAGAAATAAAAGAGAGCTACATATGTAATTATAATTTTTTCACTAGCCACAGTAAAAAGGCAAAGGAAACAGCAGGAATTGCTTTTTAACAATATATTTTATTTAAATATATATATATATATATATATGTTTATTTATTTATTTATTTAACCATATATATATGGTTAAATAAAATATATATATATAAAATGTCACTTCAGCAAATATAAATATTATTAATGAAATATTTAGGTCCCTTTTGCATACTAAGTCTTTGAAATCTATTGCACATTTCAGTTCATACTACCCATATTTCAAGCACTCAGTAGCCCGGCTACCATACTGGACAGTCTATTCTCCAATAATTATGTAAAATGTTTCTGGAGTATTTGCTATTAAAAGTAAGGCACAACATTAATATGCAAATAAAGAGTTTTAAAACTTGAAAGAAAGAAAAAAATAAGGCACACCAGCAGAAACTAGGCATAATGGAAAGGCACTGTCCACACAGTGTGGTTTGATAGCATTGTTTAGGTCCCCAGCTACAGAAGCCCGAAAATCCATCTTTGATGGCATTCCTTTGTAGAAAACAGAAATCACCCAAGTTTTCCAATGATAATGTAAATCACCCTGGCCAGGCAGCTCAGTTGGTTAGAGCATTGTCCCCATATGCCAAAGTTGCAGGTTTGGTCTCCGGTCAGGGCACATTCAAGAAGCAACCTATGTGGAACAACAAATCAGTGTCTCTCTCCCTCTCTCTCTCTCTCTCTCTCTCTCTCTCTCTCTCTCTCTCTCAAGTCAGTGTATATATATATATATATATATATATATATATTAGAAAGATAACAAATTGACAAATTAAGCTCTTAATGCAAACTGAAAACATTTTGAGAGGCATATGAGCTATAAATAGTAAATTTAAAGGGTCCCTAACACTTGATGTGAATGAGTCTGAGTTCATCCTGTTGGTTGGATCACTAGCATCTTACATGAGTTTGGGGAGTAGGGACCAGAAACCTGTGGAGGGTAGATTCCACAAGTTTATATTTACCTACTTATGATTCAACCTTGCATTCTTCTAGTCTAACTTTAAAGGGAACTTATAGTCTGAACTAAAATGGAAAAGAGATTTTAAAAAGTCCAGATAATCATCATGCTAGGTGAAGTCACACCAACAGCAGGGCTGTCATTTTGACCTGAACATCCATTAAGGATAGCTCAGTGACAGAGTGACATCGGGGAGGGATTAACACGAACAGTCACTATTGGATAATGCGCCTGGGCTCCTCTTAGGAGAGGTGTTAACAAAACACATTAAAAGTTTCTGACAGAGCATGTTAGGCAAGCCACTGTAAAACCACCAGGTCCTAAATGACAGGTGAAATGCCAATCTCGAGCTATGCCTTGAGAGCAGTAAGATTCTAGCATGGAGCTTGCCGAAGGCAAAAATCTGGACTCTGCATAATTTCAACCAGCTTCCACTTCGTAATCCTATCTGCAGGTGACCACGCGATGGCCGCCTGGGAAGGCTGTGCCAGCCTCTTACAGAAACAAAGAAGGAGAGGGAACCAGAGTGGTCACCAAAGCAACTTCAGCCATGTGTTTTCATTCAGCCAGGTGGATGGAAGCTATGTATTTAGGAGAAGTATTTCGTGAATTACGTCAAAGCATCCTCTCCTTCCCCCTGGCAAGCAGGAAAAGACCAATTTGTCCTAAACCAAGAATAAGTATCTCACTCAGTTTACTCTTGTAAGCAAACCTCAATTTTCAAGTTATAAACCTTTATGTGTGTGCGCGCTGAGGGAGAGACACCCTGCTAGTTTTGGAGGCTGAGGAGGAAGGGTTTGGGGGAATCTGAATTGCCATTACTGAGCCTGTGGCATATTCGATGTTGAAGTAATGTCAACTCAGGAAATCGTGGAAGTGGGACTGGAACCTAGGTCAGCCTGGTTCCAAAGCTAGGACTTTTCTCCTAGATGGAAAGGATCCTGAGAATCACGAGGTGGTGAGGAACCCCCACTGCAGAAAATACAGCAACCCTTTTGTTCAGTATTTTCCCATAGGCTCTTAAGGCTCTCCAGCCTACTAGTCCCGTATTCATGAACAGGTCTGAATTCAACTCAAATATACAGCACAATAAAATGTTAGATAATAGTACATCCCACAACCATAGGCAGCTTAGTTGCTCTCCTTTTGTCTGTTTTCTATGTGTGAAAACAAGAATAGTATTCCTCATTGCCAATCCATGAAGAAACTGGTTAAAAGAAATTAGGGATGTACAGAAAGCTCTAGACACAGAAGCTCTGAGGCTCTTTCATTTTAAAATATGGTTTACCACCCCTTACAGAAAAACATGCCAGTCTTTAGCAACCATTTTAGTTCCAGAAGCACCCAATGAGCAATTGAGTGGGCCAGGAAAAGGTTCATCTTGGCAGTGAATCTCAAGAAGAGACAAATGTGGGCCCTGACAGGGACACTTAGATGCCAAAACAAATGACCTTTCACAAACTTTGCAGTCTAGTGCTTGACTGTAAAAGCAGGGGGCTTAAAATGGCATCTTGTGTTTTTCCTTCTTAAAGTGGCGAGGCTTTAGTTTCTGCAAAACAGATTGACTATATAGATTTTTAAATTTGTGCATCCTGACTGCTGTTTGAAGGGCTGGCTATATTGGATGGGCCATCGTAAACAGAATCGTATTTAAGAAATGGCAGGATTCTCCACTTGCCAGATGATGGCCCCTGATATCCCCCTTCTCTGTCATAAGACAGACTGCAGAGGGTTTTTGTAACTACCTTTATCCCCCCCAAACTGAGAGCTCCGGGAGGCATGGACCATGTCTATCCTGTTAATAACTGTATTTTATCTCTATCCCTGAGAACCATGCCTAGCATAGAACAGTTGCTTAGGAAATATTTGTTGAATGGGGGAAAAAATAGTATTTTCTCAGGAAAGGCTAAAAGAAACAACAGTGGACCTCCAGAGACCAAGGTTTCTGAAGAAGATGCATTAAGAGATGTACTCTACTCATTCCCTAGGGTAATAATAGCTCTCTTCAGATAATGAACTTTCCTCTCTGTAAATGTCTGCCTTGCTATATTTCACTCAACACCATCGGGGAAATGCCCACAGGTTATCAGAAAATATACTACTATATCTTTTAGACCTTAATGAATCATTCTAAAATTTTGACGGGTCACAATAAAAAGTTAGAAGTGTCCTAAGTTCTTATGCTCATATTGGTAATGTCAGATCAGTTTTACACCTGTGTAGGTCTTGGTTATGCTTATCAAAATAAGTTAAGATCCACCTTTTACATTAGAAATGTAGCAATCACAACAACAAAAACTGAACAATGACTACAATAATTATTGCATGCAGCAATTTCTAATTTACAAGGTATTTGCACATCCATAACATCATTTGCTTTTAATAATGCCCCTGTGAAGGGGGAGGGGAGAGAAAAAGAGAGAGACCAAGACCCTTATTTTACAGAGACAGGCCTAGAGCTCACACAACTGAGTCACTCAGCAGCATGCCGTTAGTAAATGAATAGCTGGGAATTTCAATGTGAAATGAGAACAAAAACACAGTCAACGGTATTTAGAAGATGACTGGTTTATAAAACATAAACTTAGTTCACTGTCTCTGCTTACCTAACATACCCAATAGAGACACTGTCCAGAAATTACATTCTTTATAGTCAAGGATCATTATCAAGCCCTGTCATCATTATTTCTGTTTCCTACAGGGCCATGGAGAAAAGTGTGTGTGCTCCTGAACTGGATGATAGGTTTTTAAATTAGTTCTTTTATTCCTTTAAAATACAAGTTGACAAGAACTATCATGGAGGACAGACAGGACTGGGAACAAAACACAGGGTAAGTTACGTCTCTTTATAGCAAACTAAAACCTGGTTGGGTATATTTTCTTCAAAATAGAATAGAACTAATACGGAATGTTCCAGATGGGAGCACTTCCCAATTCTTTCTTTGACATTATATTTTCTAAGATGTTTGCCTGCCAGCTTTCCCAGAGATCCAGTGAATCTACATGAAAACGTGGTTTTGTATGCAGTAACACAAAAATAAGATTATTTATGTTATGCTGATAGTTTATACCTACTGGGATTCCTTGAATTCTTTGGTGACAATAAACTTGAGGATTCACTGAAGTACCTATAAGAACACATTGGCTTTAAATAGTACTATTACCCTGATTAATAACTGTTTCTTGGGGGACAGGGGTGTAAGAGTATAAAAGGTGCACACAAAAATCTCTAGATCATCTTCAACTTCCCACCAACAAATCTACCAACCTATTTGCAACTGTACCATCTACTCCCCCCCCCCCC